TTTAACACAAAGAATCAAAGACAAATCTAGTAAAAAAATTTATGATTGACACATTCAGTAATAAATTTAACCACTGCTTTCTTGTTAAAAGTTACAAAATCTCATCATCATCCTCACAAATCAACACAAGATTCAAAGACATATTCAGTGATAAATTTATCATTGACTGTTTGTTCAAAAATTACAAAAAGAAAATCTTGTCATCATTGTCATAAATCAGCACAAGCTTATTCAAAGACATATTCAATGTTAAATTTATCACTGATAGACACATTCGCTGATAAATTTCTCACTGACTATTTGTTAAAAAATTATAAAAAGAAAATCTCGTCATCATCGTCACAAATCAACACAAAGATTTAAAGACATATTCAGTGATAAATTTATCACTAATAGACACATTCATATAAATTTATCGCTGACTGTTTGTTAAAAGATTATGAAAAGAAAATCTCGTCATCATCGTCACAAATCAACACAAAGAATCGAAGACATATTCAGTGATAAATTTATCACTGATAGACACATTCATTGATAAAATTCTTACTGATTGTTTGTTAAAAAATTACAAAAAGAAAATCTCATCATCATCGTAACAGATCAACACAAGATTCAAAGACATATATTAGTGTTAAATTTATCACTGATATATTAAACCCTTGTTTGCAACAGATTTGGTTTGAGAGAAATAAAGAGTGAGAAATAGAGGGAGAGAGAGACGAGATTTGGAGAATCAATGTTGCTTGTAGTCGTTTAAAGTTGATTTCACAGTAGAAACAACTAGAGCAATGAAGATCTAGGATGGAGTATAGATCGGCGATGGCATAGCGTAAATCGGCAATGGTGAAAGTGGTTGGTAAACAATGGCGGTGAATTGGAGCGGATGTAGTATAGATCAGTGACGACGAAGATGGTTGGTGAACGATAGTGGTGGTAGTGGCTAACGAAGGTGGTAGTGGTAAGTGATAGACGACGGTGGTGGTGCTGGGTGGATGGCCATGGCTATGGTAATGGTGGTGGTGTTTTCTAGAAAAAGATAGAGAGATATGGAGAGAGAGAGAGAGATAAGGGTTTTGGAAAAATCATCAAGAGAGAGAGAAGTTAATAAAAATTGAGAAAATGAGTGAGTAATACATTCAATGAAAGTATTACAGGCAACTAAAGACTTAATAATATATAAAAATATAAGTTAGGACCTAATAGGTAAGAAAGAGGGACTACTCTTCTATTATTATGGGGGGCAAGCCCAACCCTTGATGTATGTCCACCAGTGCTCCAAAAGTTGGTTCGTGAAGATTAACTGGCCCAATAACACTTTGGTTGCATTGAGGACTAGTTTGTGTATATCGTCCATCCAACAATGATTCATCCTACTAAAAACATCACCACTAATAGCACTAATGCATTAAAAAAGTAAAAAAAAATAAAAAAAAATACAACTCCAAGACCAAAACATCACATCATTAATGACGGGACCCACTGCCACCTAATTAGTGGGAGCACTAATTAGTGCTCCCACGCATTTTTCATCGTCCATCCTCTCTCTCCAATTTTTTTAGCCCCAAACTTTGAACAAATACAATGTATATTGACCAGTAAAGAATACATTATCTTTGTTAAAAAACAAATAATAAATAAGATACACATTATCATGTGATATCAATAACAATCATTAAGTGTTATTTTCATATTATTAGATAAAATATGAACATAAATATGATGGTCCATCATATAAATCAAATTACCGACATTTTATTTGATTAAGTTTTTGGAATTTATTTTTTATTTGAAGTAAATATAAACTAATTTGAGGAAAAAATAAATACGGAAAAAATATTTTTATGTCCAAAAAATGAAAACCATAAAATACTTACTTTTTTTTTTTATCAATAAAAAAGAATTTTATTAATGAAATCAAGCGTACAAAGTATTTGAGTTACATCAATAAATGAAAAGAAATGCAAAAAGCATCACAGGAATGCTTTAGGTGGATAGGGATTGTTCCATATCAGATCAGGAATGCTCAAAACAGGACCAGCAGTTGAAGCACAACAGATAGCAGATTTCACAGGGAAAAATAATAAAAAATAATAAAAAATAAAAAATACAACTTAACCAAACAAGGTGAGAAGTACTGAAAAATTGGGCACCCGACCCCACCCAATACAAGGATGGATTTGAGAGCAATGCAAAGGAAAAATTACAATTCAGTTATAAGTGAAATAAATATTAATAAAAAAAAGTTAAGTGCATAGAAATAATTTCCATAGAGCTTGTTTGGGAAGTTGTTTTAGGCTAAAATAGTCATATAAGACAAAATAAGTTATTTTAATCAAATAGGACAAAATGTCACATTTAACCCATAATTATTTTATTTTTTTTCTGACAAAAGTCAAAAAAATTAAATAGTCTATCACAAACGAGTCTTTTTAGCCCATGCTAAAATAGTTAAAAAGCCAATCCACATCCCAAACGAGCTCATAATCAATTATAGATAAGACACAAATGGTGGTATTTATTTGCGTGTGACATACTCTTTGTATTTTGTTTGTAATTGATTCTGTGAGCCAATTTTATATGGGAGATTTGGTTAAAACTCTCTCATAATAAAATTTTAATACATTAAAGACAAGTACAAAAGCTTTTACTTAAAAAGTTCAACACATATCACTAGTACCAAAATATGTACTTAGTGATTTAATATTTTAAAATTTAAAATAATATAACTTTTGATCTAGATGTCGATTTTTAATAAAATTAATATTTTTATAATCCACTCACCAAGATCTATCAAATTAGATCGATGTTAATTATGAAATTCTTAAAAAATAAAAATACCGTTCAAATTAACGTAAACAGTAACATGTTACTCTGTTTGACAGTAAAATGTTATTTTGTCTCACAGTAATATCTGGTTATTCTGATTCACAGTAACATTTTACTGTTACAAAAAATAGAGTATATATTAGATGAACTAGCCAAAAATACACATACACACATTTTTAAACTTGTATAAAATAAAATAAAAGTGTTCATCGTCAAAAAAGTTTTGTGATATATGCATGGACAATATTGTTCAAGGAAAAAAAATTACTCTGTCCTTACTTAATTATGTGTCTCCTCTTTAGGGGGTTTATGAAACAAAGTAAATTATGTTGTCATTTTCACCAAACAAGGGTTCAATGGAGGAATTTTGACTAAATTTTTATTTTATATTTATAGCAAAGCTCAATATTTATTAAGGAGTGAGAGCCTTCTTAAGGTTTAACTTTTATTTTCTTATACGTGAAAATAATCATACCCTCTATATATCTGTAATTATTTTTTTTAATCGCACGCACTAATTTGTAATTTTAGAAATTCATAGCAATCTCCCTCTTGGTTTTGGAGCAAATAAATATAAAAATGGTTGGGAAATAAAAATTTAAACTGAGCGGTGATGGCTGATAGAGAAATTCAGGCCTCGTTTGTCAACTATACATTTTAATCAAAAAGTTACTATAAGTTATCGCATCACTCTCTCTACTTTTTTGCACATCTTTTCATAAAAGTTAAAAAGTTATAAAAATAGCTTGTTCCCAAATGAAGGCATTTTCCATATAAACATGGGGTTAAAATATAAATATAAGGATAAATTATATAGTCTCTGTATTTTATTTTTTGTATCATTTTAGCTCTTGTAATTTTAATTAGTTTGATTTAGATCCTTAATTTTAAATTTTGTGTAATTTTAGTCCAATTAATAATGCTGATTAGGATTTTTGAAAGAAAATGGTCATTGAGTTAGTTGAAATTAATTCACCAAGTTAAGCAAGTTTATAATTTTACATATAAAAGTATAACACATGTCATTTATGTGTACATTTTCCTATCAAAAAATTAACAATTGAAATCAATTAGACCAAATTAAGACAAAATCATAAATTTAGAATCAAAATCAAGTCAAGTGAAATTACAAGTACTAAAATGACACAAGAACAAAAAATAAGAATAACTAGTGTAATTTATCCTAAATATAAATATAAATTGGCAGAGTAAGGATTGAAAAAAAAATTCATAATAATGATAAAATTTATAAATTTTAATTAAAATCATAAACTTTTTCACACATAAATCATTATTTTTGAAAAATATAACTGATTTGTAATTTTTCCATACAAACTAGTGAGAACAGAGAGGTGAAGTGGGGAAGTGATGAAAGGGAAGCTCGTTTGGATGCTTGCAAGAAGATTCTAAAAATAAGAGAGAGAGAGAGAGAGAGAGGTAAGGCCTACAGGTTGGTGTGGCCCCAAACCATAGCCGCGTGACGACACAATTAGTCTCTGCCTGTGAGCTGCACAACAGCAACACCAGCATCTTCCTAAAATTCCATTCAATAATAATAATAATAATGTGAAACAAATTTAAATTTAGGGGTTCTTTGGATGACCTAAATAAGTGTAATTTTTGTCTTTTTATAAAAATATATGTAGAAAAGTAGAGAGGCGATGTGATGAAAAAAAAAACAAAAAGATGGATTATTTTGTAATAGCCAAACTTGACCTTATGATTTTTTCAGAGTAAAATTTTAAATACCTAAAATTACTGAACCCGAATCACCACTTCATTCAGTGCCACTTTAGTGTAAATTTACCAGTAGAAATATGAAATATATATATTTGTTACCCATATTATTTCATGATTTTATTTTTATTTTTTTTATGCATCATATAATAAAATTATGTGTACTTTTAGATGAATTATAATAATTCATAGATAATGAGACTGACCACACTATTACACATGAAAAATTATATAAGAGATTTTAGATGTCTTTTTCCTTTTTATAACTAGCTGTTTGAGCCAGTTTATACGCACAAAATTTTTCTTTCCTTTATGAATTTCTCCTAAAATTCAAGATCCAAATATTTTGGTCAGTATGTGATATATGGCAGCTCATAAGTCAAGAGAAAAATCAAGAATATATATATATAGAGAGAGAGAGAGAGAGAAAAAAGTATGTGCATAAATGGGTGGATGTGTATGTACATGACATTAAATCATTGTAGTAATTAATATTGCAACATCCGTTTTTATAAAATAATTTAATTTATTATTTATTTTTTTTTAAAGAAGGAATAAAAGGTACTGCAGTAGTAGAGGAGAGGAGAAGCAAAAATAGGTCTACGGATTGAATGTCTCCTCTTCATCTCCAGCTTGTAGCTGTCACCTAATGACCCTTTGCTCCTTGCTTCTTTTCTTGTTTCTATTTAAAACTTGTTCATGTGACTAAGCTGAGCTGAAGTAGATTAATCATTCACACACCAACAGCTAGAATAGAATAGAATTTCATTTATTATCATCCATTTGCATGCTTTTCTGATAGGGTTAAGATTGGCAGGGAGGGCCTAGAATCTTTTTTCAAGGGGTTGAGTGAGCAGCAGTGATTTTGAACTGCAGATTTACTTCTGTTGAAGAAACCTTTAGCAGCAGCTGCCCCCATGGAATTGCTGAAACAAAACATGGCTGCTGTGGCATCCTCATCGGTGTCGTTCTTTGGTATAAGAGATGAAGATCAAATCCAGATGAAACAACAACTTCAACAACATTTCTCCATACCCACTTCTTCAACTACTCCTCCAACCACAGCACCACAAAAGAAAAGGAGAAATCTCCCAGGAACACCAAGCAAGTACCTTACCTCCTAGCTATTATTGCATATCTATTACATCATCATGTATTATGTGATGAAGTGAAAACCCTAGTTTTGAAAAAAAGGAAAATCACTCCTTTTGTTTTATGTTTTTAGTTTTTTCGACATACTTTGGATGGAGTTGATGGGGTTTTTTAATTTTATTTTAATGATTTTTTTCCCTCCTAATTAGTTCTTGAAATTATGGAACTTTTCCATTTAATTGTTTTTGTTGTTTGGCTTTTCTCATAACAGATCCAGACGCTGAGGTGATTGCACTATCTCCCAAGACCCTAATGGCAACAAACCGGTTCATTTGTGAGGTATGCAACAAAGGTTTCCAAAGGGAGCAAAACCTACAGCTCCACAGAAGAGGACACAACCTGCCTTGGAAGCTAAAGCAGAAGAATACAAAAGAGGTGGTGAAGAGGAAGGTGTATCTGTGTCCCGAGCCCACATGCGTCCACCATGATCCTTCAAGGGCTCTTGGTGATCTTACCGGCATCAAGAAGCACTACTTTAGAAAACACGGTGAGAAGAAGTACAAGTGTGAAAAGTGCTCAAAGAAATATGCAGTGCAATCTGATTGGAAAGCTCATTCAAAGACATGTGGTACCAGAGAATACAGATGCGACTGTGGTACTCTCTTCTCAAGGTAATCACCTATTCATTCTTTTCATTTCCCTGATATCATATGCACAATGGACCATCCATTATCTCATATATATGCCCATTCATGATTTACAAAGAAATCATGGGAAAAAATTGGTTTTGGTTTTGGTTTTGGTTTTGAGAGAGCAATCTTTTTAAGAGCCTGCTTGTGAATCATCTCCTTCCTCCTTCTCAATCCTTTAGGGAGTTCTGTATCAGTGTGAGAAAAGGCCATGGAAAAATCTTTTTCTTTTACTTGATTATTCTACTTCCTTCCCTTGCAATTCCCTCTCTTTGAGGGAACTGCATAGCAATGCTTGAGCAATATTGTATAATGGCATAGTATAAAAATAGGGTAATAATAAAATATATGTAAAATAATTTGAAAAACTGGTACTCATTCATTTCAAACCAATACATCCTGATTTGTTATTTCAAAATGTTACTACCATTTGCCAAATTTTTTTTTTTTGCTCTAGGATATGGTAACTGGAAAAGGAAAGGATAAAAAAATAACTAAATAAATAAATAAAAGAATTGTAATTCAAATCTCCTCCTCGAAAACACCACCAGTCATCTTTTGCATTCACGTGCAGTGGATACAATGTGAGGAAGGAAGGATATGTTGTTACTTGGTTTGTTTGTTCTCATGTGAGTTGTATATCCTTACTTGCTGATTTTGTACTCTTATATTTTGGCTACATGTACTCAGTGCTGTGCCCTTGCAGGCTCTCCTTTCATGAAAATGTTAGTGTTATGGGACCAGTTTACTCTCTCTCTCTCTCTCTCTCTCTCTCTCTCTCTCTCTCTCTCGCATCAGTAACTGGTTAATTCTTCACATGTAATTGGCAAGATCTGCAGTCATTTGAACACAAAACATTCTCATGGCTATCAAGGGTTTCTTAACAAGTAATCATTTGAGGGTAACTTTTTCAACTCATTTGGTTGAGGAAAAACATTAAAATGTAGTTCTTAATTTTGTTCATTTACTGAGGAGTCAGTCCTAGTCCTGGTAATGGTATACAAATTTGTGTTATCCCTTTCTTTTACTTGCAAACCGCAATGCTCCAGTAAAGTTACACCGTGCAGTTTTGGTTTTTCTTTTTATTTTCCTTTTCTGTTCTTTTTTTTTTTTAATTTTAATTTTGCTATTTCTTGCATTTTTGAAATAAATATTTGACATCCATTTTACCCAACAACACAGTGGGGCCTTTTGTTTACTCTGTTATTTTCTCCTAGTCCCTTCCACTATTGCTGAAGAGCTGTGCATTCCACCCTAAACTCTCTCGTGTTGTGAGTACTTTTAGCTCTCCTAATAATGGAATTTTATCTGCCAAGTTTTTCTTCTTATGTTTGCTTCATTTGTGACTATTTGCATTTCTTTCGAATCTTGCTCTATATAATTGTTGCATGCAAACTTGAAATCATGAGTAATTTTTACATGAAATAACTATTAACTAATCAAATTGAGTTGTTTTGTACACCTGGAATGAGTGGCTATTATATCTCTATTTCATCTAAACATGTGTGCACTTTGTTGAATGAATGATATCATTTAAAAAATGATAATGATTTCAGTACGTACATTGTAATAGCAAGTTACTTTTGACTTTGGATTCCATTTTCACTCTTACTAATCTCATACTTCATTTCCTGTCCTATTCCATGTGTGTATTGTCCATATAACCGTCTAATGACCTAATGGTATAATTCATTTCATGTCCTATTCTTTCTTTGTTAAAAAAATTTCGTCCATGTGTTTTCTTTGTTCAGTTCTGTGTTTGATTTTTGTATTCCATAACAATTTGTTGCAGGCGCGACAGTTTCATTACACACAGAGCCTTCTGTGATGCATTAGCTCAGGAAACTGCAAGGCACCCATCAAGCTTAAGCACCATTGGCAGCCATCTATATGGAAGTAACAACATGAGCTTGGGTTTATCTCAAGTGGGCTCCCAAGTTTCATCATTACAAAGTCACCACCACCACCCTTCTACCAACCTCTTAAGGTTTGGCACTGCTGACAGTGCAGCTGTGGGAGCGAAATACGAACAAATTATCCCTCCAAATCCCTCTTCCTTAAACCATCCTTTGCAATCAATGCCTTCACATGCATTATTCATACCAGACTCAAACCAAGGCTATCAAGAACAACAGCAACAACACCAGCATGGTTTAGTGCCAAACAAATCATTTATTGGTTTGATGCAACTTCCTGATCTTCAAACCAACACTAATAACTCTTCTTCTGCAGCTGCCAATCTCATTAACCCTGGCTTCTTTTCTGGTAGTTGTACCACCACCACCAGTACCATGAACAATTTTAACAGTGCCACTGAGAACCACAACAACACCCATCTCTTGTCCCCGGATTTCTTAATGCCTGATCATCAGTTCAAGAATGGGAGTGGTGGTTCACTCTTTCATGGCAACAACATGAGTGACAGTGTTGGTAATTCTGGTCTCTCTTCTCTCTATAATAACACTTCACCGCAACACGAAAGCCTCCCACCAGCTATGTCTGCTACCGCATTGCTTCAAAAAGCTGCCCAAATGGGTTCAACTACAAGCACAAATAATGGTGCTTCTTTACTAAAAGGTTTAGCAAACTCTTCTTCAACAACTGGTGCTGAATCTGAGAGACAACTTGTGTCCCTCAACTTCCGTGGCAACAATAAAAGAGGGGGAAATGAACACCGACTTCAAGGACTAATGAATTCTCTTGCCAATGCCACTTCTTCTGCTCCAATGTTTTGTAGTGGAAGTACTGAAGGAGACAACAGCTATATCAGATTCGACGGAAGTGAAAATACATTTGAACAACAACATAATAGCGTGAATTTTGGTCACATGGACGAGTCTAAGTTGCACCAAAATTTCACATTAAGTATTGGAGGGTCTAACAGAATGACACTGGATTTTCTGGGTCTCGGAGGAGGGATGGTAAGAAACATGGGTGGTGGTACTGGTGCTGGTGGGTTCTCACAGACAGAACAACAACATGGTGTCGACATAAGTTCTTTCGATCCCAAAATCAATTCAGCACAAGCAAGCCATGTATTTGGTGCTCCCTAGACGCTGCGAAGATGAGAGAGCCTGTAAAAGAGAATATGGAAAGTTTAAGTAAACTAGGATGCTTGAGCATGTACTGAAATTATTTATTTTGTTATAAAAATGTACTATAATCTCATCTGATTTTTGTTGTATTTTTTTTTCTATAGATTAAATTTGCTTAAATATAAGGGAGTTAATAGTTCAATGACTAAAACTCGATCTACAAATCTTGAGATTGTAGGTTCCAATTTGTGCAAATTATGGTAAATATGTTAATTATGTCTACTTCAATTTAAATCTCCTGGCCCAATCTAGTGGGACTAACTGACCTTGAAGAGTGCCATTCACACTCCCTTTTTTTATAGTAACATTATTAAATTTTGTTATTTGAGTATATATTGAGAATGGTGTCCTATGTAATTTTAAGTAGTGAATAACATCCAAATTTCAGGAGAACTCAATTAAAATTTTAAAGTTTCTTACCTATCTTTCAGGGCAATGACCACATTGCATAGTAACAGATCTGTCTTTCTTTCTTTCTTTCTTTATCCTCATCTTTTTCTTTTTCTTTTTTTTGGGACAAAAAAGGACGTAGGTCATGTTCAATAGAGACTTGTCAATTGGAAAGATAGATACTGATCATATTCTAACAAACTAGACAACTGAGAATTTTATATTCTTTTATATAGTATATACAACTAATTTGAGTAGGTAAGAGAAAAAGTGATATATATTATTCTTTAGTTACTTTATGACTCCCAAAGAATTTGTTTGCCTACCTAATAATACCTAACCATTAACTTGCACTAAATAATTTAGTAACATAAAAAAATGCTGATTTTCAGGGTCCCTTGTTGACATTCCTTCAAACTTTTCGCACTCATCATTCCTTTATAATATGATGTATGATCACTACGTTGACCTCTATTATCACTTCATTCTCCCAATGTTTTCTTTTTCTTTATCAGGGCAGGAAGAAGAAGAAAAAAAAAAACCGTTTATTAATGAATCAAAAGAATTAGGTCAATAAGGATAAAGAAGTGCAAAAAAATTGCATCATAACTATTTATCCGACTCATCCCAACTATGTTCTACAAAATTCATGTGCAAAACACTTCCATCCAAAACAGAAGGCTGGCAAGAAATCAATGTGACAATGTCTCTCCTTTTATTTCTTTAAAAATATGATTTACTTCAGTATATACGTACGAAAAATGTTATGGTGTGCACCTTTTTAAGAGTGTATATCATATCATATGTACCGTATTATAAAATGTGTAATTTTACCATCAAATTTTGTAATATCAATCATAAAATGTATAATTTCACCACAAATTAACTTAACAAAATATCTAAAATTTTAGTAATACCTATTACACTAATATCGGGTTAACAAATAAGATAGTACATGTAATATGTTATAGCAATAATGTGGTAAAAATAACATTATTGTTTGGGTAAGTTATAGTATTGGTCTCTCTAATTTGAGTAAAATTTCACTTTGATTCTCGTAGTTTCAATTTGAATAATTTACTTCTTATACTTTTAATTTTGTTGTAATATGATTTCAGGCATTATTAACATTTTGAAAGGAAAAAAATCATTTGCAAAATTAAAAGAATCAAAGTAAAATTCAAAACAAACTGTAAAGACTATTGATACAATAAATATATTATACTGGTGGTCCCTATAATTTATTTTGAATTATACTTTGATCTATCTAATTTTGTACATAATTTTTTCTTCAAATTCTAATTGTAAGTGATAAAAATATTGCATTGTAAAAAAGTTAAAAATATAAAAGTCTAATCATTCAAAATCAAATTTCAAATACTAAAATAACATTTCATCTAAAGTACTGTAATTTAACTTTCATATAGTTTAGGCAAAAGAAAATGAAACGCATGTTAGCAAGCGAACGTCTCGTACCTGAGGGGAAATTATTAATTGATATTGAAATACGTGATATTTCAATATCATCGTGATTAGTAGAAGGGTGAGACTTAAAAACTTGTATTAGATAATTAATGAATATAAAGAATATTATAAATTATAATTGGTGAGAGATATAACCACATAACATCACTTTGCTTGTTTTTGGTTTTTTAAAAATACCTTTCAGAAAATTTTACTTTCTTATTTTTTGTGTATTTTTTTTGTTTTTATTGAATTTTTTTAACATTTTAAGCAATTTTTTTAATTTTTAGATACACCTAACATAAATACATACAAAAAGTATAATTTTTGTGAAAAAAATAATTTAAAATTCACTAAATACCAAAAATATAAAAAAAATGAAAATTCAGTATATTTTTCATCTTTTTATGTATTTATTAATTTTTAAAATATTTTTTCACAAATTTTTTACTTTTTAAATACATTTAAATAAGGTACATCTAAAAAAATTTAAAAAAAAATACTTAAAATTTTAAAAATATTCACTAAAAATAAAAAAATACAAATTCAATTTTCAAAAAATTTAATCCAAAAAATTCAAACCAAACGCCCACTAATTTTTCGGACCTACGGGACTGATAGTACTCGTTAGGGCAATTATTAAAAGGACAGTTTCTCCACGTGGCAGTTTTGTCGTTACTTTTGTCTCTCTTTTAAAGTTTCTAATCCGTGACTGTGAAAATGCCAAGAAATTTTTTTTATGTTTAACTTATTTTCGCACTCCTATTTTTCACATTCTGTTATATTTTAATTTTTAGATTTTATTTTAGACTTAAAATGATAATTTAAATTATTCATCTCGTAATCTCAATAATTTAAATAAGTTATGTAAAAAAATTAGTTTCATCAGACATCATTAGATATATGAATAAATTATATATTGTTTTTTAAAAATGTAAACTTAAACCTTTAAAATAAAAAATAATTTATTTATGCATTCATCAATATCCGATGAAACTAGTTTTTTGCGCAGACAATCTTCATTGTGAGATTTACAATATGAACAATTTAAATTATTATTGTGAGTTTAGAATGGAACTCAAAAAATGAAGTATGGAAAAAAAGAAAATATTTGGGACTCCTTTTAGGGATGACATCCATACTCCCAAAGTGATCTTGGCCCTCCATGTATATGTAAATCATGAATAGTTCATTACTCTATGGAAAAATATAGAGGATAAGAGTATGGAGGGAAACCATTCCCATCTTTAACCAACTAATTTGATATCATTGGAGGTAAAATTGAAAGGCTAAATTAGGGGATGATTATGTTTCAAAAAAAAATTTCTACCATACACTTGTGTATATCATATCCTAGAGGAAAAAATCTATATTTTAGACATACTTTAAAAGGTGTATTTATAATTATTTTTTTTGTGACATCTCCATATATCTTATAGTTATTATCAATGTTTTAAAAATCATATTGGATCGATTGGTTGAATCATCGACTGATCCAGGTTAATCAACCCTCAAACCCGTTCTTCTAAATCCAGCCAACCACCAAGCTAGCTTTATAATTATGCAGTACATATGAGAAGTTTAATATTTATATAATTTCTATTTTTTTTCATTTTCAAATGCATAAATATTTAAAATATTAAATTTTAAATAAATTAAATATATAAATATGAATTTAAAATTTTATATATTTTTAAAATTATTTGTGACGTAATTATGACATCACAATTCTACTCGACGATTAAACCAATGACCCGTCTACCCAATTTTTTTTTCGATTTGCTTACCGATCCAAATTTTTAAACATTAATTATAATTGACGGTTTGTGTATGTATTTATATATTTTTGTATTTAGCATTTTTTTTTAGTAAATTACAATATATCTTTTAAATTATGATTCATTTGTATTTTGTCCCCTTTAGCATCAAACTTAGCAAGTAATCCTCTCGAATTATTATCTTGTTTACTATTAACATGTTTTGTTAGGATTCTATTAGAGTTTAAACATAATTAAGTTATGTGTTGAGCACATGACACACTTATTAATTTTTTGGGACAATGCTACCCGTTTTTGATTTTATCATTGCAATAATACTTTTATTTGATGATTTCATATATACTTTGTCTCTCGTATCTTAATGATAAAATACAAATGGAATAACCAGATAAAGACATTATTGTACTAAAAAATAAATAAATGTATCATGTGATTTGCGTATGATCTACTTTTGTGTAAATTCTTAAAAGAATTTTAACAAAAGGTTTGATGGTAACAATATGATATTTTGAGGTGATAAATTGCTGAGTTTTGAAATTCAAGTACAAAATGTAAATCAGCTTGTTTAGTTTTAGGATACAGAATTTATTTTTCAAAAAATTCAAGTTTTTTATTTTTCGTATTTTTTTGTTTGTACTGAATTTTTTTAATATTTTAACATTTTTTTTAATTTTTGGATACACCTAACATAAATACACTTAAAATGTATAATATTTGTGAAAAAAATCTTTAAAAAAATCACTAAATAGATATTTTGGGTATGAATAATGCTATATGCACCAATTAGTATACTAATTAGTGTACCAATTGATGATGTGATATAATTTAAGAGGTTTTTGGTATTTGTAATGTGATTAATGAGTGGGATCAATAATAATGTCATAACTGGTGTTAGTACATTACTTAGTACACTAATTGGTATATGTAGCACTATCGTTTTGGTATTTGTAATTTGTATAATGAGTGAGATCAATCATAAGGTGATAGTTAGTATTGGTACACTAGTTAGTATACTAATTAATGCATGTAAGACCACTATTCACATTTTGTTTGAGGGGGGAGGGGGTAAATGTACATTAAGAGGTTGTTTGGAATGACCTAAATAAGTGTACTTTTTGTCTTTTTATGAAAAGATGTCCAGAAAAGTAGAGAGGTGATGTGATGAAAAAAAAATAAAAAGATAAAAAGTATGTACTTATTTTGGATATCCAAACTTGGCCTAAAGTCAAACAATTGGGATCATAAAATTCCCATTAATACGATGCGTGATAAATACTGTGAATACACTCATTCCTTTTCCAATTAATATTTGTTTAATTTTAAGAATTTAATATGTAATTTTCTCAGCTTTTTAATGTTGATTAACATGAGTCATGTTGGCTACTTGATCAAATTAATTAGTAGTCGAATATGATACCCAATGAATCAAGACAACCTAAACATGACAAAAAAAAGGTTCTGGGGTTGCCATCTTCAAATCAATGCTAGTAACTGAGACAATGTTAGTTTATCAGAAACAAAAACTAATATATAAACGTGGTGGCTTACTTTTTTTAATCACAATTAAGATTTTTTTTTTTGTTT